TTATATCGTATTTATTATAATTATTATTATTATTATTATTATTATTATTGTTATTATTAGCAATAGCAGAAATGTTCGATTCTTTGCTGTGTTCAAGAGTAAACACATGTCACCGTCTAATACCTTTCCTAATAGCCATTCCAATATGCAGTCATGAATGGGTTTACATTATTTATTCTGTAGTTTAATAGGAAATAATGAACAAACAAAACACTCGCCATACTGAGTGGTGGGAGGGCTGGCTGCCAGTTGCGGGGGTCGGAGGGAGGGTAGTAGGGACTCGCAGTGGTGGAGGCATTGGTGGAGGTAGTGGTGGAGTCTGTGGTATTTAATAATGTACATGTTATTAACATACATGTTATTAAATAACATACGTTATTAAAGCATAACATGTATATATTTAGTACAATTTACGACGTTTTCATGTATTTTATGATTATTCATGGTTCAACAAGTTAAGGAAGCAGTATTGTAATATATATTTCCCTACAATATGTTGGGGCACCAAACATTCACGGTTTTTCAACATTCGCGAGGCTCTTGATCCCCTAACCCTCGCGAATGTTGAGGGAGACCTGTAGTATTAGAGTTGCACTGTTGAATATTAATTGTAGGTGCAGGATGTATAATTATGATTCATACCTGTGATGAAACAATAGCATCGAAAACATTGCAGGCTGCTGCCACTCCTTTCTTATACTGTGTTAACATACACTCAACTCTGCTGGTTTTGGCTTACCAGTAACAATGTTCATGTTTATTTCACTTATAATGAAAGACTACTGTTTATGATCCTTATTCATTTTTTTTTTTAACAAGTTGGCAGTCTCCCACCTAGGCAGGGTGACCCAAAAAGAAAATACTTTCATCACCATTCAACACTTTCACCTCAATCATACATAATCACTGCTTTTGGAGGGGTGCTCAGAACACAACAGTACACAACATATCCCTCCAAACTGCCAATATCCCAAATCCCTCCTTTAAAGTGCAGGCATTGTACTTCCCATTTCCAGGACTCCAGTCCGGCTATATAAAAATAAATGATACAAGCAGATAACACAATAGTGCAAATAATATGAAATCCAGGACCAAGTGACTTGTGCCCAAATTTACAAGTTCAGTATTAATTCTTAAAAAATCTTTTAAAAACCAAAATATAAAACATGGCAAATGTTATGCAGAAAATTCGGAGTGTGGAAATTAGGAGAAGGTGTGGAGTTAATAAAATCATTAGTCAGAGGGCAGAAGAGGGGTTGTTGAGGTGGTTTGGTCATTTAGAGAGAATGGATCAAAGTAGAATGACATGGAAAGCATATAAATCTATAGGGGAAGGAAGGAGGGGTAGGGGTCGTCCTTGAAAGGGTTGGAAAGAGGGGGTAAAGGAGGTTTTATGGGCGAGGGGCTTGGACTTCCAGCAAGCGTGCATGAGCGTGTTAGATAGGAGTGAATGGAGGCAAATGATACTTGGGACCTGACGATCTGTTGGAGTGTGAGCAGGGTAATATTTAGTGAAGGGATTCAGGGAAACCGGTTATTTTCATATAGTTGGACTTGAGTCCTGGAAATGGGAAGTACAATGCCTGCACTTTAAAGGAGGGGTTTGGGATATTGGCAGTTTGGAGGGATATGTTGTGTATCTTTATACGTATATGCTTCTAAACTGTTGTATTCTGAGCACCTCTGCAAAAGCATTGATAATGTGTGAGTGTGGTGAAAGTGTTGAATGATGATGAAAGTATTTTCTTTTTGGGGATTTTCTTTCTTCTTTGGGTCACCCTGCCTCGGTGGGAGACGGCCGACTTGTTGGAAAAAAAAAAATAAATACATGAGTGGGTGTGGGTGGGTGTAAGTTGGACCTGACTAGTTTGTGCTGCTGGGTCTGGTGCAGTGCTCCATCCTTGAGTGGAGATGATCAGACTGGGTGGGTCATTGGGCTAATCCGGGGGGAGGGTCATTGGTCTAATCTGGGGGGGGAGGGGGGACATGGACCTGCTCCGCATGGGTCAGTAGGCCTGTTGCAATGTTCCTTCTTTCTTATGTTCTTATGTTTTCTCAGGTGTGGGTTTATGCTAATTCTGCATACTCCAAAGATGGGCTTAATATATGTTGTATGAAGGCCAGAAATAATTTTCTTGAAATTCCAGAAGGCTGCTTCTAGATTTGCCATGCAAGCATTGGCTGCAGAGGTTATTTGGTTGATGTGAGCCTCCCGTAATATACTAGGCACTCCGTTTATCCCTTTCTCTTTATAAGTGAGGGATACAGTCTCTGTTTTCAGTCTATACTGTGTCTGGTGTTAGGGTCCCTTCCCTAATCTTGAAAACCTTGCATTTGTTGGTATTGAATTTGTGTGTATGTGTCCTGGCACATTAATGTGAAAGAAGCTCATTAAACTGTCCAAACGTAGATCTACGTTCACGTGCATAGCTCTCTGACCTTTATTTTCCCCATTTGAAAGCATGTAAAAAAAAAAAAAAATAGATCTACGTTCCAAGCCCCCCGCACATGAACATAGATGTACATTTGGACAGTTTAAAGGTTAAATGCTTTGTTCTCTGGCAGGATTGCTAGTCTTCTCTGTCTGACGAACGTGTAAGGTGACTGGTAAATCTTGCTTGCTTCTGCTTATATTTGGTATACCAATATCTCTGTATTTCTGTGTTTAATAGTTTTCTGGTCTGTATGATAACCTTTACAATTTTGGAGGATTAATGTGAGACTAGTCCATAGGGGTGAGGATTTCTAGAATAGTTAATTGCTAATCAGGCTCTTGCTGTATTAGCTTCTTTAGTATCTTCTTAAGGACCTAATTAACAGACTGTGTTACTATACTTTTTTTTTTTTTTCCAACAAGTCGGCCGTCTCCCACCGAGGCAGGGTGACCCAAAAAGAAAGAAAATCCCCAAAAAGAAAGAAAATCCCCAAAAAGAAAATACTTTCATCATCATTCAACACTTTCACCTCACTCACACATAATCACTGTTTTTGCAGAGGTGCTCAGAACACAACAGTTTAGAAGCATATACGTATAAAGATACACAACATATCCCTCCAAACTGCTAATATCCCGAACCCCTCCTTTAGAGTGCAGGCATTGTACTTCCCATTTCCAGGACTCAAGTCCGGCTATACAAAAATAACCGGTTTCCCTGAATTCCTTAACTAAATATTACCCTGCTCACACTCCAACAGATCGTCAGGTCCCAAATACCATTCGTCTCCATTCACTCCTATCGAACACGCTCGTGCACGCCTGCTGGAAGTCCAAGCCCCTCGCCCACAAAACCTCCCTTACCCCTTCCTTCCAACCTTTTCGAGGACGACCCCTACCCTGCCTTCCTTCTCCTACAGATTTAAATGCTCTCCATGTCATTCTACTTTGATCCATTCTCTCTAAATGACCAAACCACCTCAATAACCCCTCTTCAGCCCTCTGACTAATACTTTTATTAACTCCACACCTCCTAATTTCCACACTCCAAATTTTCTGCATAATATTTACACCACACATTGCCCATAGACAGGACATCTCCACTGCCTCCAACCGCCTCCTCGCTGCTGCATACACAACCCAAGCTTCACGCCCATATAAGAGTGTTGGTACTACGATACTTTCATACATTCCCTTCTTTGCCTCCATAGATGACATTTTTTGACTCCACATATACCTCAATGCACCACTCACCTATTTTCCCTCATCAATTCTACGACTAACCTCATCCTTCATAAATCCATCCGCCGACACGTCAACTCCCAAGTACGTATCTGAAAAAATTCACTTCTTCCATACTCCTCCCCAATTTGATATCCAATTTTTCTTTATCTAAATCATTTGATACCCTCATCACCTTACTCTTTTCTATGTTCACTTTCAACTTTCTACCTTTACACACACTCCCAAACTCATCCACTAACCTTTGCAATTTTCTATAGAATCTCCCATAAGCACAGTATCATCAGCAAAAAGTAACTGTGTCAATTCCCATTTTATCTTTGATTCCCCATAATTTAATCCCACCCCTCTCCCGAACACCCTAGCATTTACTTCTTTTCCAACTCCATCTATAAATATATTAAACAACCATGGTGACATTACACATCCCTGTCTAAGACCCACTTATACCGGGAAGTAGTCTCCCTCTCTTGTACACACCCTAACCTGAGCCTCGCTATCCTCATAAAAACTCTTTACAGCATTTAGTAACTTACCACCTATTCCATATACTTGCAACATCTGCCACATTGCTCCCCTATCCACTCTAACATAGGCCTTTTCTAAATCCATAAATGCAATAAAAACTTCCCTACCTTTATCTAAATACTGTTCACATATGTGCTTCAATGTAAACACTTGATCTCCACATCCCCTACCCACTCAGAAACCTCCTTGCTCATCCGCAATCCTACGTTCTGTCTTGCCTCTAATTCTTTCAATAATAACCCTACCATGCACTTTTCCTGGTATACTCGGTAAACTTATTCCTCTATAACTTTTACAATCTCTTTTGTCCCCCTTCCCTTTATATAAAGGGACTATACATGCTCTGCCAGTCCCTAGGTACCTTCCCCTCTTTCATACATTTATTAAATAAACATTTCTGTCATGATCCCATCAGTTCCAGCTGCTTTACCCCCTTTCATTCGATGTAATGCCTCGCGTACCTCCCCCACACTTACATTCTGCTCTTCTTCACTCCTAAAAGATGGTATAACTCCCTGGCCAGTGCATGAAATTACCGCCTCCCTTTCTTCCTCAACATTTAAAAGTTCCTCAAAATATTCTCGCCATCTACCTAATACCTCCCTCTTCCCATCTACTAACTCCCCTTAATGTTAACAGTATATGAATTTCATCTTGTAAATAGGACTGAAGCTGCCAGTACATATTGTTAGGAATGCTAAAATTGGCATCTTATTATTATTCATTTCCAGTAATTTTATTAAGCTAGTAGTCTAATGATATTTCAAGGAATCTATAAAGAAATTTGTCTTTGCAGAGTTGTAGATGAACAGATTTTGGAAGGCTGCACAAATTTCCTGGAAGAACTGCTGGAGGTACCAACTGGGAAGTTGGCTCTGGACAAGTTTCTTGCAGAGTCCCACTTTGCTTCAGTTCTTCTTAGTCCACCCATCAGTGGGGATGTAAAATCTTCAAATCTCCCCACTCATATTATCAAGTTCTTTATTCGCTTGTTCCAGCTTGGTGAGTGTATTGATTTTTATTTAATTAAAGCAAGGAATTTATTGGTCTTGTTTATTAGGTCCTGTGCTCTTGACCTTGTTTGCTGTATATACTATAGGTTGATTTTTTTTTTTACATTGACTGTCTACTGCCAAGGCAAGGTAACATCCACCTCTTTCCCCCCCCCCCCCCACCAAAAAAAAAATCGCCATTATTCTTTTAATTGTTGTAGCACTACCATTTCCATCTTAGTATAAAGCACACTAGCTGATCGTTGCACTTTTCTACAAGTTGTAATTTCTAGTAGACTTTGATCATATTTTATTAAATAACATTCTGCTTCTAAGACTGCCAGAACAATTTAAAAGTATGAATTTTAACCTTTAAACTGTTTCTTGTGTAAAAAAAAAGTAGATCTACATTCGGAGCGCTACACGCGCAAATGTATATCTACGTTTGGACAGTTTAAGGGTTAAGAGATGGGGTCAACAGACATCATGCTTGGAAGGAGAGATATATATATTTATGGAAGAGGTCTCTGAGGTCCTGAAGATTTAGAATTTTTCTTCTGTTTTCTACCTACCAACACATTGTAGATGAATTGTTCAGAGAACCGACATGTTGATGAATTAGACACATGTGCTGTATGCTGTATGCTCATATGCTGTATTCTATTCAAGATTGATGGACTGACCACATCGACTCAAGGTTGAGGGACTGATTACCTCGTTCTCCTACTGCTCTCTTCACGATTCTCCCTTGTATGGACTGATGAAGCCACTGTGTGGTGAAATGTTTCCTCAGTAAAGATACCCAAGAGTTGCACATGTGTCTAATTTATCTACCAATACATGAATAATTTAAACTACATTTATATCTTAATATTGACATAGGCATTTTTCCTTTTATATTGCAGTTTCATGGTTTGATCATTGTGTATATCAGATCAATATCTCCTTTTGTTTTGCTGTCCATTAATACATGTTAAATATCCCATTAACCTTAAATAACCTCTAGTAAATGACCAACTATAATCTGGTTTGAAAAGGCTCATCGAGTGTGTCAAGTTTCACAGTCAGGCAGAAGTTTGGGTAGAGGTACTGTATTTGATAGGATAAGGAGGCGACCAAAAGAGAAGGGGAATCCTGCGGTTACAGAGGGGACGAGAGAAGCAAACAAATATGTGATACGTGTAAACATTTGTAAAATAGTGGACAAGAATTTTAGTGAAGTAAACAAGAGCTTTAAAAGATAGAAATTAAAAAATAATTGTTTTGCAGGTTTATTATTTCACGTGCTGTAAAAATAAGTTGTTATAGTTCAGTTGTAAAATAAATTTATTCTTTGTGTGGGCAGTCAAATCCCTAAATTCAGTGTTTGCTTTTTAAGTTGTCATGAATCTGGAATTTGCAAATGTGAAACTGTTTCCGAATAAATTTTGCTTCAGATTTGTGCTCCTATTGTTTTTTTATAGTCCATAGATCTTTAAATATTGCACTAATCTGTTAATGTCAACATTTGTGGTTGGCATGGGTGGAAACATTTGGCATGTTTCCTTACACCTGCTGCCTTTGTTCACCTAGCAATAAGTAGGTACCTAGGTGTTAGTTGACTGTTGTTGATTGCATCCTGGGAGGATGATAGTATGCCTTAGATAGGTCTTGGCTTTGAAATGATCTGAGGTAGAATAACAGCTCTTAGCTTGTAAAGTTGATTTATATAAAAAAAAAAAAAAACAGAAAAAAAGAGGGATTTGGACATGAGAAGCTATTAAATACATTGCAATTGAAATCCTATGGTTAGTTTTCAAAAAATTGTTAATCAAAATATAAGCGTCATCCCCTTTGGTAAAAAGACGGTACTGTATAATTGAATCTAAAGAACTCCGGGGTTCAATTGTACATTACCTAAAAATTTTAGATTACAAGTACAGACTATAATGCCAGAATACTGTTTATAATTTTTTTTTTCTTTTCAACAGCTGAGAAAACACCAACGGACCACACCTTAGCTTCAGTATGTAGTCGAATTTCTGTGGGGTCTTGGCTGGAATCTGGGATACTTCAAGGATGGCTCTCGACTCATCTTTTGACTTCTACACCCACTAATGATGCTGAGGCAGCACCAAACAGTTGGCAGTTGTTGAGGACACTTACAGCTTACATAATTACTCAGGATACACAGAATGCTGAGGTATGACACAGTTTTGGAAATTTAATGCATTATGGTGCCCCTTCAAGGAGTGCCTTGATGCTGGTGAACAACTCTTGCTTCAAGAAATTGAAGCTACCTCATTACTTCACCCTCTTTGGATCAGACGTGACTGCCTCCTTTTTCTGAACACTGTATGACCATTGTAGATATACCACCTACCCTATTTCTTCACCCTCTTTGGATCAGACGTGACTGCCTTCTTTTTCTTGAACACTGTATGACCATTGTAGATATACCGCCTTCATGAATATAATAGGAACAATGCTTGTATTTTCTTTATGGAGGAAATCAAGTGGGATAGATAGTTTTGCTGCATCTCAGTGATGTGTAGAAGCTTTACAGTGGTATTCAGTTTTTTGAGGTGGACTGATTAACCAAGGGAAGGCCTTGTTCCAATACCCAGAAGATCCACTGAGCAGTTTATCTTATGACTAACTCTGATACCAGAAAACATTGTCCCAAATATCCTAAAAAAAAAAAAAAAAAAAAAAACCATACTCTCACTCCCTAGTTATATCTGGATAATTTTAGAGAATCTTTTGAGTTTTTGTATGATAAACATCTTTGACAATACTGCTTTATAATTAAGGTATTTCATATTTTCTAAAAAAAACTATATTATTATAGTAAGTTTGGGTTGATTGTGGCATTACTAGCTCTTTATTTTGAATTGGAGACTTAAGGTGAGCCCAAGATGAAATTTGGAGCATCCATTCCAGAGGTTTGTTACACTTAATTAGCTATAAAAGGCATCCTGTGTAGCATATTAATATCACTACTGTTTTGAATATTGGCAAGGAATCACTGCCTAAATATTTACTTGGAATAAAAAATAACCTAATGAATAACAAATCATTCATAACTGACAATAAAAGTTCCAGAGGGAAAACTGGTTTTTTTTTTTTTTTTTTTTTTTTTTTTCCAACAAACCGGCCATATCCCACCGAGGCAGGGTGGCCCAAAAAGAAAAACAAAAGTTTCTCTTTTCAAATTTAGTAATTTATACAGGAGAAGGGGTTACTAGCCCCTTGCTCCCGACATTTTAGTCGCCTCTTACAACACGCGTGGCTTACGGAGGAAGAATTCTGTTCCACTTCCCCATGGAGATAAGAGGAAATAAACCATACCCCAGCCGGGATTGAACCCGTGGTCAGTGTGTCTCAAAACTCCAGCCCGTCGCGTTAGCCACTAGACCAGCTAGCCACAATAAGATTCATCCAACTAGGTATATTTCTACACCATAGGAAGGTTAGCGATTTCGTGAGTCATGTTGACGGCAGTGAAGGGACTTGAGCTAGAGTTCGTCACGGCCACGCTAGCTGGAGATTCATCTGTAAAAACTTGCATTTGTGGTCACAGTGGTGCCTGTGCTAACCTTCCTATGGTGTAGAAATATACCTAGTTGGACGAATCTTATTGTGGCTAGCTGGTCTAGTGGCTAACGCGACGGGCTGGAGTTTTGAGACACTCTGACCGTGGGTTCAATCCCGGCCGGGGTATGGTTTGTTTGCAATCATGTCATTACGATTTCGTGAGTCAAGAGGAAATAAACAAGAATAAGAACTAGAAAGAAAATAGAAGAAAACCCAGAGGGGTGTGTATATATATGCTTGTACATGTATGTGTAGTGTGACCTAAGTGTAAGTAGAAGTAGCAAGACCTACCTGAAATCTTGCATGTTTATGAGACAGAAAAAAGGACACCAGCAATCCTACCATCATGTAAAACAATTACAGGCTTTCATTTTACACTCATTTGGCAGGACGGTAGTACCTCCCTGGGCGGTTGCTGTCTACGAACCTACTACCTAGGAAAACTTTGAAGTACTGTATATGTACTAAATTGCCATACCGAGTAACTTTGAATGTGGTGATCTTGTACGAGCTTTTTTTTTTTTTTTTCCATTAATGACACATTTCATAATTTTATTTAAATTTCAGGAGGTTGCTCATGGTCTTTTGAAGTCCCTAGTTCCACTAGGGTCATCCCTGGTTATTGATGGTAATGAGGGTCTTGCTAGTATGACACACTTGCTGTCTGTTATGTCCTCTTTAGCAAGTGCTGGATCAGGAGCAGGTCATGTTACACTCTTCAGGGCTGCTACACAGTGGGTCACACAGTGGTAAGTGGTGCCTTTATTATTTTCCTAGTGTTTTGTTCTAACTTTGCCATTTACTGATTTTATCATGTGTACCGGGCTATTTGTACTCACCGCCTGGCCCTGCCTCCCAACTTGTAGCTTGCCTGACTGTACTCCCTCCTAGTCTTGTGGGCCTTATTGTATCCAATCTTAAAACTAAGTATGGAGCTTTCCTCCAGGTCATAGCAATATTTCATCTGGCCCTGATGCTTTTGATATGTCAGGTCTCTTACCCTCTCATTACTTCATTAGTCATTTCAGTATGAGAATTCAATTTGGATTGTGCTCCCTTCTGTTTTTGGTACTGTCCCTTCCTTGTATAAACACACTGCTTAGGTGTGCATGAATAAGTATATGATCTCTAAAATCATTTGTTTTTCCCCACAGCAAGCAGCACCTAGTTGGAGAAAGTGACAAGGGACTACTGGAGGCAATGTGCCATTTACTTTCATATGTCAGTGATGTTGTGGCTGCTCTTAAGGTAAAAAATTTGTTTTATATGCAATATGGATGAATTTGGTAGGGTGTGCAAAAGAAGAAAATTAAAAGTGAATACAGGAAAGAGTAAGGTTATGAGGATAACAAAAATATTAGGTGATGAAAGATTGGATATCAGATTGGAGGGAGAGAGTATGGAGGAGGTGAATGTATTCAGATATTTGGGAGTGGACATGTCAGCGGATGGGTCTATGAAGGATGAGGTGAATCATAGAATTGATGAGGGGAAAAGGGCGAGTGGTGCACTTAGGAGTCTGTGGAGACAAAGAACTTTGTCCTTGGAGGCAAAGAGGGGAATGTATGAGAGTATAGTTTTACCAACACTCTTATATGGGTGTGAAGCATTGGTGATGAATGTTGCAGTGAGGAGAAGGCTGGAGGCAGTGGAGATGTCATGCCTGAGGGCAATGTGTGGTGTGAATATAATGCAGAGAATTCGTAGTTTGGAAGTTAGGAGGAGGTGCGGGATTACCAAAACTGTTGTCCAGAGGGCTGAGGAAGGGTTGTTGAGGTGGTTCGGACATGTAGAGAGAATGGAGCGAAACAGAATGACTTCAAGAGTGTATCAGTCTGTAGTGGAAGGAAGGCGGGGTAAGGGTCGGCCTAGGAAAGGTTGGAGGGAGGGGGTAAAGGAGGTTTTGTGTGCGAGGGGCTTGGACTTCCAGCAGGCGTGCGTGAGCGTGTTTGATAGGAGTGAGTGGAGACGAATGGTTTTTAATACTTGACGTGCTGTTGGAGTGTGAGCAAAGTAACATTTATGAAGGGGTTCAGGGAAACCGGCAGGCCGGACTTGAGTCCTGGAGATGGGAAGTACAGTGCCTGCACTCTGAAGGAGGGGTGTTAATGTTGCAGTTTAAAAACTGTAGTGTAAAGCACCCTTCTGGCAAGACAGTGATGGAGTGAATGATGGTGAAAGTTTTTCTTTTTCGGGCCACCCTGCCTTGGTGGGAATCGGCCAGTGTGATAATAAATAAAAAAAAAATTTAATGCACATTTTATACAAAGCTATAATTTCGATGTATAGTGTGTATTTAATTTAATTTAAGGGAGTAGTTTTTGTAAAGAACATATCATATATTGGGGTGTTTGGGAAGTTGTTACTTTGAGCATTACAGTAGTTTCTCTTGTACAGTATTTCTGTGTTTGAAATTCTCCCAGATTTTCTAACTACGATTGAAAAAATCCAAATTTTGATCATGAAAAACTGCTCTAATTCTTTTTTTTTTTTTTTTTTTTTTTTTAGAGAATTTAATTTTTAAAGTTTCTCATAGTCCTTCCAAAAGATTAAAAAAAATGATTTATTAGAATATTACTAAATCTATACCAGTGATACCAGAAATAACATGTAAAGGTCTCATGACATCCAACCCAGTGAGTTTTTGTTTTGATAAATTAGACACATGTGCAACTCTTGGGTATCTTTATCAACATGTCGGTTCTCTGAACCATTCATCTACGAGTTTTTGTTTTACTTGGCAGAATTGTATACACCAGCATTTGCTACCATCTTATTCTACATAATACTTTGTCATATTCCATTACATAGGATGGGAGTCATACATAGTGTTGAAATCTGTCAGCCTGAGCTGGGAGACTTCATTAGGGAAATGAGAATATCATTAAGCTTTCCATTGGGCACAGTAAAAATATTTTGATATCTACCAACTCGACAAATGAATAGCTGAGGTAACTCCATACATTATAGCTATCACAGAGACTAAGCTGGCCAACATATTACGTGGTATTTTTCTATCTGGATACCAAGTGATAAGGAAAGACAGGACATAGGAGGTAGAGCAGTGGCACTCTTAATCAGAAATCAGTGGAACTTTGAAGAAGTGAGAGGGATAAACAGACAAGAGGTGCATAATTTTATCATGAGCTCAATTAATACAGGGGAACTAAAAGTAGTAGTTGCAGTGATATACAGCCTATTATCTAACAATAACAAAACGATTGTTGACATATTAGCTGCAGCAGCTAGGAATGTGCACAGAACCAAGGCAAATTTACTTACCCGGCAAGTGGCAAGTTAAGAGGCAAGGCTAGGAGTGAAGACTTGACCTCCTGCAACCACATATAGACAAGTATCAAGGTTAGGATGTCCCAGAAAAGGAAATACATTGTCATTCTCTAGTTGTCTTTCCAAGAGTGCAGGATGTCAATTTAAGTGATCCCCCAGACTGCAACACTCTTAACCATTGCTCTTCATTTTTAACACACTGACAATCTCTCACCTAGGATTGAGGAGAGAAACAATTATTTATGTGTTTTTTTTAATAGTTTTTATCTGAATGGCTTCAGGTCAACAGTGAACGTTGGGCTGTTGCTTATCGAAGTGGAATGACTTCACCACCCTATGAACTGGATTTAACTGTTGACAATGACTCTGATTGGGTGGATGATTTAACACAAGACGACGATGATAGTGCTGGTGAAGACTCTGTAAGTATTAAGCTGCAAGTTAATGTGTGTTATTGCTTGAAAGACGGTGCGGCTATTTCCTGTAAATAATCATGAAACGTGAGGTATTTTATTAATAGCAATATGGTAATTTAATGATATTATCAAAGACCGAAGGCTTCTTTTGTCATTTACTATTTAAATAAAAAAGTGTGCTATTTGTGAATTCTTCTTTAAAGAAGACTATTGTTTGTAGTTTTAATTGGTTCATGGATTGTTGAAAATTTTTTTGAAGAAATCCATCCATTAATGAGTTCATATGTAATGAGCATAGTGTTGGAAATAACAAAAAGGCACAATACCATGGCTGGAACAATACACAAATAACTTGCACATCTATGCTTACGTACAATTTGTGCACTGGATATAAATATAGCAATCCACAAAGAGTATGATGAAGCTTTCCAACACTAAACAAATAACCTGCACATAGGAGAGAGGCGCTTACGATGACATTTCAGTCCGACTTGGACCATTTACAGTCAGACAGTGTGACTTTGTAAATAGTCCAAGTTGGACTGAAACATCGTCGTAAGCTCCTCTCTCCTATGTGCAGGTTATTTGTTTAGTGTTGGAAAGCTTCATCATACTCTTTGTGGACTGCTATATTTATGAATATCCAGTGCACAAATTGTATGTAAGCATAGATTGATTTAACTCTATAAAGACATCAAACTGTGCTTTAGTATATGCTTCAAGAACTGATTTTTATGCATTTTTAAACTTTGGATTTAAAGCATGAGTGTAAAGATCAGGCAATCTTTTTAAAATTTATTCCTTCTTTTAACACTTGTAGAGGCAGCTTCATGCTATCTAGAAATTCCAGTGCTAAATTTATTAGACCTGTGAAGGAACATTTGAATCATTTTCTGAAGAACTCCCCATGCATCCCAGCACCTCTTGCACTAAAATAAAATTATGGGGAAGACTTAGAATTTAGACATAGGCATTTGCAGGTGAAAACTCAGAGAAAAGGGAAACAACAAAATTGCCTGTGAAAGGGTAAGTAATTGTGACTATGGAAAAATAAATTTAAATAGTAAGGATGTAAGGAAATCACTATGTTAGTGTTATGTAAGGGAAGGTAGGTTCCATCAATGTAATAAAAGGTGTGATCTGGGTTTCGCTTGGAGATAGTTGGTGCAAGGCAGTCCACCTTGCCTGTGTTTGCCAACATGGCATTAGTAGCTGGCATGTAGAAGCAATCCATTCATACACACGTAATGGCAGCCCAGAGCCAAGGTTCCAAGGCAGAGCAGGTGTTGTCCAAGTTGCTGCTGGGCATAGTGAGGTGGCTCTGCTTGGTGATGCTGAGCTGCTGGCTGCTCAGGACTGCACTGTCTTGATGGCTGGGTGGCTTAGGGGGTCATGTGGCATGGAGCTGCTGGGCTCTTCCAAAACCTGCAGAGAAACAGGGCAACACTGCTGGGCCACCAAAATGTGCTGAATACCAGCTGAACATTGTGTGGAAGAATAGAATGGAGGGTGATGTGTGGTGATGGGGTGTGTATGGGGTGCAGTTGACTTCTGCTGCCTACCCCTAATATATGTGGAGTGTTAACTCAGCGAAACACACCGAAGTACTTCACTTCTCACTTCAGTGGTTTGTATGGGTATGGAAGCACTGAAGCAAGTCTGATGATGACCCGGGAAGATATAGACTTAGCGCTGGAACTGGTGATGAGTGGAACACAAGACCAGTATCTACCGGAGATGACGCTGTGATGACTGTCCAATTTTGAGCTAAAATATGGATGAGAAGATGCCTCTGTAGTCTTTTGATGTGCTAGACTGGGTTTGAACACTGGAAATGGGAAGATAAAGGTGAAGCATATTGATAACTTGGAAAAACTCACCCCTTGGCCTAGAGCTCAGCACACTGCTGGGAACTGCTGTCTCCACTTGTGGTCTAGGTTTTGTGTGGAGGTAGCTGGCGTAAGGCAGTCTACCCTGCTTGTGTTTGCTGAGATGTATGGTGTGGTAGCTGGCATGTAGGAGCAATACAGGAAACTAAACTAATGTAGACTAGAGCGTAGTTTATTGGCTTGGGTTCTTCCAGACAGATGCAAGTAATGGAAGCCCAGAGCCAAGGTTCCAAGGGGGAGCAGGTGTTGTCCAAGTAGCCACTGGGTAGAGTGCGAGGGCAGGGGCCTGGTCACAGACCGGGCCGCCGGGGCGTTGACCCCCGGAACTCTCTCCAGGTAATGGGCTATACACATGGGTTCACCACAGTGCCCAGCCCCTGGTAGGTGCTCTGGGAAACAGGCCTATTGAGACGGCTCCCCTAGTGGGAGTTATGGGAAACAGATGTGGGATAGGCATATTGTCTATTTTACTTGCCTTGATAGTGCTTCCATCAGTGACTAAGATTAGTGTATGACGTGAGGAAATATAAAAGTTGCAGAGAATTAATTTATTACCAAATAATTTTGTTTTAGGAGCATAATTATTTAAAAATGAAAATACAGTGTATGTCAGCTTCATTTAGGAGTGAGGTTGTTCTAATAGAAAGTTATAGGGGCATGCCCAGCAGCTGGAACTCAACCCCCTGAAAACTTACCCTCCTGAGTAGTTGTATGAAGTGCATGGACATGTTTGCACTTGTATGTTCTGTATTTATTTTACTAGCAATATTCTTAGTGTAAAACCTGTTTAGAAAAATTTTAATATTTTACACTTATTCTCACAGGATGAAGACAGCATGTGCAACAAGCTTTGCACTTTTACACTGACACAAAAGGAGTTCATGCACCAGCACTGGTACCATTGTCACACCTGCCGTATGGTTGATGGTGTTGGAGTGTGCACTGTGTGTGCACGGGTGTGTCACCGGGGACATGATGTGACCTATGCAAAATATGGAGCATTCTTTTGTGACTGTGGAGCTAAAGAAGATGGTTCATGCCAAGTAAGTTTAGTGGGGTTCATGCATCTACATTTTTGGCTTTACTTTCCCCCTCTAACCTCACTCTAAAAGCTTTATTTTGAACGTAGACATTACATTTGCATTCATTGAGACGTGCATTTGAAATGTCATTATATTTTTGCAGTATGTAAATTTTTATGAAAGCCTTAAATCCCCTCTATTTATTTGAGGAGAGGCTAAGACCATAGAATTGAGCACTTCCCTCTACACCATCAGTACCATAGATGTCTCATTAATTGCTTATTATCTCATAAATTTTTTGCTTTTGTTTTAACACAGTAGCCGTCTCCTACCGAGGGAGGGTGACCTGAAAAAGAAACACTTTCACCATCATTCGCACTATCACTGTGCTACCAGACACACGCAAACATGATAGTTTAGATGTCCCTCCAAACAGCAAACATCCCAAACAAAAAAAATTGTGTATTTCAGCAAAGTCAGTATAGAATACTAAAGTTACTAATAAAGGAATGAGAAATCTGTTGAAATTTTTTAAGCAAATGATTGGAATGTATGTTAGATCTCCAACATGCTCTTAAATTAGAAAAATGTGCTGCTAAATTGAAGGTTTGGTTACATTTTTGAGGATGACTTCAAAGTTTGAATGTCTCAGTTTAGACATCACTAATGAAAAATTGTGTTAGTGGTTAATTAAATAAAATGAAATTGCCACATGAAGATAGCGATATCGGTTGGCATTTTCCTTATGGGTGTTCTTTGTCATAGATGAGGGTATGGGTATTGCCTAGGTGTCAGTAGAAGAGGTGGGCACAATAAAGGAACACTGTATCAACATTCGTAGTCCTAGATCATTCAACATCTTACCAGAAGATATCAGAAAAACTGCTGGGACAAGTATAAAAGTCTTCAAGAGAAAACTGGACAAGTATCTTCACCAGGTGGTAGATCATCCAGGATGTGATGGATATGTGGGGTAGCAGGCCTCCAGCAGCAACAGCCTGATGGACCAGGCTGTCATCAGATGAGCCTGGCCCATGGCTGGTCTTCAGGAGTAGAAAGGTTTGAAACTCATCAATGGTATATCAAAAGTGTATCAGCTTCTGGTTGGGGGTGGGGAGGGCCTTGATGCTGATGAAAGTCGTGATTGAAGGAACTGGAACCACTCTCCTTTTCTTGGATCAAATGTAACACTCATTATGCAGGCACTTTTATTATTCCTATGGGATTAGTGCTTCCCTATGAATATATATAGTAGTAGTAATACCGGTAATAAACAAAAATAATAATGATCTCCATGGAGAAGTGAAAGGATTCTTCCTCCGTAAGCCATGTGTGTCATAAGAGGCGACTTAAATGCCAGGAGCAAGGGGCTAGTAACCCCTTCTGTATAAATTACTAAGTGTAAAAAGAAAAACCTTGTGTTATTTTTTTTCGGACCACCCTGTCTCAGTGGGGAAAATAGCCAACTATGATCCACAGTTGTGTTAAAAGGAGCAATAAAAGTTTGAAATTTATTATTTATCTTGCAATCCTATAAAACATAAAAAAAAAAAATGGTTGACACTACACAGACCAGAATTTCTACAAAACTTCAAGCTGTTCAACTTAATACTGCAGCTAATGTATTAAAATAATAGTTGCCAAAGTATTGCAGCCAAATAAAAAGTTAGGCCCAGTACAGCAACTTACGTTGCTTCTGGTATGTGGTGGTGGTTTCTGTTTTCTAAGAAGAGCAAAAACTAGGCAATTTTTTCTTAGAAAAATTATTTATACTGTAGTGGTAGTGCTGACTTTTTTTTTTGAGTGTAATATAAGTATATATCTAATAATATATCTAATAAGGTAGTAGGTTGGTAGACAGCAACCACCCAGGGAAGTACTACCGTCCTGCCAGATGACTGTGAAACAAAAACCTGTAACTGTTTTGCATGATGGTAGGATTGCTGGTTTCTTTTTCTGTCTCATAAACACGCTAAGATAACAGGGATATCTTGCTACTCCTACTTACACTTTGGTCACACTTCACAGACACGCACATGCATATATATATATACATACATCTAGGTTTTTCTCCTTTTTCTAAATAGCTCTTGTTCTTTTTTATTTCTTCTATTGTCCATGGGGAAGTGGAAAAGAATCTTTCCTCCGTAAGCCATGCGTGTCGTATGAGGCGACTAAAATGCCGGGAGCAATGGGCTAGTAACCCCTTCTCCTGTATACAATTACTAAAAAAGAGAAGAAGAAAAACTTTATAAAACTGGGTTGCTTAAATGTGCGTGGATGTAGTGCGGATGACAAGAAACAGATGATTGCTGATGTTATGAATGAAAAGAAGTTGGATGTCCTGGCCCTAAGCGAAACAAAGCTGAAGGGGGTAGGAGAGTTTCAGTGGGGGGAAATAAATGGGATTAAATCTGGAGTATCTGAGAGAGTTAGAGCAAAGGAAGGGGTAGCAGTAATGTTAAATGATCAGTTATGGAAGGAGAAAAGAGAATATGAATGTGTAAATTCAAGAATTATGTGGATTAAAGTAAAGGTTGGATGCGAGAAGTGGGTCATAATAAGCGTGTATGCACCTGGAGAAGAGAGGAATGCAGAGGAGAGAGAGAGATTTTGGGAGATGTTAAGTGAATGTATAGGAGCCTTTGAACCAAGTGAGAGAGTAATTGTGGTAGGGGACTTGAATGCTAAAGTAGGAGAAACTTTTAGAGAGGGTGTGGTAGGTAAGTTTGGGGTGCCAGGTGTAAATGATAATGGGAGCCCTTTGATTGAACTTTGTATAGAAAGGGGTTTAGTTATAGGTAATACATATTTTAAGAAAAAGAGGATAAATAAGTATACACGATATGATGTAGGGCGAAATGACAGTAGTTTGTTGGATTATGTATTGGTAGATAAAAGACTGTTGAGTAGACTTCAGGATGTACATGTTTATAGAGGGGCCACAGATATATCAGATCACTTTCTAGTTGTAGTTACACTGAGAGTAAAAGGTAGATGGGATACAAGGAGAATAGAAGCATCAGGGAAGAGAGAGGTGAAGGTTTATAAACTAAAAGAGGAGGCAGTTAGGGTAAGATATAAACAGCTATTGGAGGATAGATGGGCTAATGAGAGCATAGGCAATGGGGTCGAAGAGGTATGGGGTAGGTTTAAAAATGTAGTGTTAGAGTGTTCAGCAGAAGTTTGTGGTTACAGGAAAGTGGGTGCAGGAGGGAAGAGGAGCGATTGGTGGAATGATGATGTAAAGAGAGTAGTAAGGGAGAAAAAGTTAGCATATGAGAAGTTTTTACAAAGTAGAAGTGATGCAAGGAGGGAAGAGTATATGGAGAAAAAGAGAGAGAAGTTAAGAGAGTGGTGAAGCAATGTAAAAAGAGAGCAAATGAGAGAGTGGGTGAGATGTTATCAACAAATTTTGTTGAAAATAAGAAAAAGTTTTGGAGTGAGATTAACAAGTTAAGAAAGCCTAGAGAACAAATGGATTTGTCAGTTAAAAATAGGAGAGGAGAGTTATTAAATGGAGAGGTAGAGGTATTGGGAAGATGGAAGGAATATTTTGAGGAATTGTTAAATGTTGATGAAGATAGGGAAGCTGTGATTTCGTGTATAGGGCAAGGAGGAATAACATCTTGTAGGAGTGAGGAAGAGCCAGTTGTGAGTGTGGGGGAAGTTCGTGAGGCAGTAGGTAAAATGAAAGGGGGTAAGGCAGCCGGGATTGATGGGATAAAGATAGAAATGTTAAAAGCAGGTGGGGATATAGTTTTGGAGTGGTTGGTGCAATTATTTAATAAATGTATGGAAGAGGGTAAGGTACCTAGGGATTGGCAGAGAGCATGCATAGTTCCTTTGTATAAAGGCAAAGGGGATAAAAGAGAGTGCAAAAATTATAGGGGGATAAGTCTGTTGAGTGTACCTGGTAAAGTGTATGGTAGAGTTATAATTGAAAGAATTAAGAGTAAGACGGAGAATAGGATAGCAGATGAACAAGGAGGCTTTAGGAAAGGTAGGGGGTGTGTGGACCAGGTGTTTACAGTGAAACATATAAGTGAACAGTATTTAGATAAGGCTAAAGAGGTCTTTGTGGCATTTATGGATTTGGAAAAGGCGTATGACAGGGTGGATAGGGGGGCAATGTGGCAGATGTTGCAAGTGTATGGTGTAGGAGGTAGGTTACTGAAAGCAGTGAAGAGTTTTTTACGAGGATAGTGAGGCTCAAGTTAGAGTATGTAGGAAAGAGGGAAATTTTTTCCCAGTAAAAGTAGGCCTTAGACAAGGATGTGTGATGTCACCGTGGTTGTTTAATATATTTATAGATGGGGTTGTAAGAGAAGTAAATGCGAGGGTCTTGGCAAGAGGCGTGGAGTTAAAAGATAAAGAATCACACACAAAGTGGGAGTTGTCACAGCTGCTCTTTGCCGATGACACTGTGCTCTTGGGAGATTCTGAAGAGAAGTTGCAGAGATTGGTGGATGAATTTGGTAGGGTGTGCAAAAGAAGAAAATTAAAGGTGAATACAGGAAAGAGTAAGGTTATGAGGATAACAAAAAGATTAGGTGATGAAAGATTGAATATCAGATTGGAGGGAGAGAGTATGGAGGAGGTGAACGTATTCAGATATTTGGGAGTGGACGTGTCAGCGGATGGGTCTATGAAAGATGAGGTGAATCATAGAATTGATGAGGGAAAAAGAGTGAGTGGTGCACTTAGGAGTCTGTGGAGACAAAGAACTTTGTCCTTGGAGGCAAAGAGGGGAATGTATGAGAGTATAGTTTTACCAACGCTCTTATATGGGTGTGAAGCGTGGGTGATGAATGTTGCAGCGAGGAGAAGGCTGGAGGCAGTGGAGATGTCATGTCTGAGGGCAATGTGTGGTGTGAATATAATGCAGAGAATTCGTAGTTTGGAAGTTAGGAGGAGGTGCGGGATTACCAAAACTGTTGTCCAGAGGGCTGAGGAAGGGTTGTTGAGGTGGTTCGGACATGTAGAGAGAATGGAGCGAAACAGAATGACTTCAAGAGTGTATCAGTCTGTAGTGGAAGGAAGGCGGGGTAGGGGTCGGCCTAGGAAGGGTTGGAGGGAGGGGGTAAAGGAGGTTTTGTGTGCGAGGGGCTTGGACTTCCAGCAGGCATGCGTGAGCGTGTTTGATAGGAGTGAATGGAGACAAATGGTTTTTAATACTTGACGTGCTGTTGGAGTGTGAGCAAAGTAACATTTATGAAGGGATTCAGGGAAACCGGCAGGCCGGACTTGAGTCCTGGAGATGGGAAGTACAGTGCCTGCACTCTGAAGGAGGGGTGTTAATGTTGCAGTTTAAAAACTGTAGTGTAAAGCACCCTTCTGGCAAGACAGTGATGGAGTGAATGATGGTGAAAGTTTTTCTTTTTCGGGCCACCCTGCCTTGGTGGGAATCGGCCGGTGTGATAATAAAAAAAAATAATCTAATAATATCCTTTATTGCCCATTAATAACCCACATGGAGACAGTAACTCGGAAGATGGATTGATCTGCATAATTTGACCCCCTTCTGGGATCCTCTTGAGCAGATACACAAGTGAAAGTAGAATATGATTCAGTGTATTACCATATTACAGGTTCTGTGCCCTCCCCGTCCCTCGGTTTATGTGAATTCACTATTATAAGCTGTTTTATGTCTATCAATAACTCTGTATAAAAAAACATGAATTTGCTGTAAGTGATTGATTCAGTTTGCAAAGCCTTTCAAAGATGCCTATGTGATATTAAGTGCTTATGGCCTGATTGAGGTTAGTACAGCCATGGACTTGGAGTACCAAGGGACACTTGTTTTGTACAGTATATCAAGTGTTAATTGGGCTATTAGCAGAACACACCCCAATTAGATATTGGACTGTAGGGCAGTTATACCTTATATAATCCCTAAGAAGTGCTTGAGAAACCTCGGCATATGTAGACTTTGTCTTCTACGTACAGTATTGTATATTTCATTTCATCCGTGATTTGTGCAATTTTAGTACTAGTCATTAAGGTATGTGTAATCTTAATATTGGCAGGCTCTTGTTAAACGAAGTCCTGCATCATACGAGGATGGTGTGGGATCCTCTAGTGGTCCAGCTGCATTTGGAGTGGAGCCTCTCCTGCCATCCTCTCTCCGGCGACGTCCTTCCTCACCTTCACAAGGCTCTCAGTCTGTAAGTAGATCCATAAGTTTAACTTTTGTTCTTTTGACTACTTGTTAAACTTTTGTTTTTAAAGCAATTTGTGATAAGTGTCATTTTGACTACTTTGTTGGTATTTTCATATATGTTTCTAATAGTTCATTGCTGAATAAGGCATGTAAGCATAATTAAAGTGTTTTTATACCATTAAGCTTACTTATTTATTATTTTTTTTTTAACACATTGGCCATTTCCCACCAAGGCAAAGTGACCCAAAAAAGAAGAAACACTTTCATCAACACTCGCTCAATCACTAACTTGCCAAAAGCATGTCGTTACTACATTTCTAAGTCCACTCCCAAATATCTAAACACATTCACTTCTCCATACTTCCTCCTTTCCCCAATCTTGTATCCAGTTTTTCATTACCTAAATTTTTTGTTATTCTCATCACCTTCCTCTTTCATATGTTCATGTTTTATTTCTTTTACATACCTTTCCAAACTCGTCCACTATCTCTACAACTTCTCTTCAGAATTTCCTAAAAGCACAGTGTCATTAGCAAAAAGCAACTGTAACAACTCCCATTTTGTGTTAGATTCTTTATTTTTTAATTCCACACCTCTTCCCAACAACCGAGCATTCACTTCTCTTGCAACCCCCGTCTGTAAATATATTGAACAACCATTGTGACATCACTCATCCCTGTCTAAGACCTACTTTTTCTGGGAAATATTCTCCCTATTTCCTACGTACTCTAACTTGAAGCTACCTTTCGTCGTAAAAACTTTTAACTGCTGTCAGTAACTTGCAACCTATTCAATATGTACACTTGCAGAGCATCTGCCACATTGCTCCCAGAGTTTAGCTTTTTCCAACATGCACCATGTTAGACAGGATTTTTTTTTATATTGTGCTCACTCACAAATCAGACCCATTCTCTCATACCTAGGCCAAAATTTACCGCTCACAGTTTATCCGAGTGAGCTGAGTTTGTGATGTAGATCTACATAATGGACCCTGGCGTTAATGTTGTAGTTCTATGTGATGGACAGTCAAATGGTTAAGGGATTAATACTGAGGTTTAATTTTCAGGATAAGCATCGTGATGATACATACAAGCAGAGGCAGGCATTAGCAAAGAAATTAGGTAAGTGGGATTATTTATATATGTATTCATTACAATTATGGGGAATCAAATTCAAAATGGGAATTGACACAGTTACTTTTTGCTGATGATACTGTGCTTATGGGAGATTCTAAAGAAAAATTGCAAAGGTTAGTGGATGAGTTTGAGAATGTGTGTAAAGGTAGAAAGTTGAAAGTGAACATAGAAAAGAGTAAGGTGATGAGGGTATCAAATGATTTAGATAAAGAAAAATTGGATATCAAATTGGGGAGGAGGAGTATGGAAGAAGTGAATGTTTTCAGATACTTGGGAGTTGACGTGTCAGCGGATGGATTTATGAAGGATGAGGTTAATCATAGAATTGATGAGGGAAAAAAGGTGAGTGGTGCGTTGAGGTATATGTGGAGTCAAAAAACTTTATCTATGGAGGCAAAGAAGGGAATGTATGAAAGTATAGTAGTACCAACACTCTTATATGGATGTGAAGCTTGGGTGGTAAATGCAGCAGCGAGGAGACGGTTGGAGGCAGTGGAGATGTCCTGTCTAAGGGCAATGTGTGGTGTAAATATTATGCAGAAAATTCGGAGTGTGGAAATTAGGAGAAGGTGTGGAGTTAATAAAAGAATTAGTCAGAGGGCAGAAGAGGGGTTGTTGAGGTGGTTTGGTCATTTAGAGAGAATGGATCAAAGTAGAATGACATGGAAAGCATATAAATCTATAGGGGAAGGAAAGAGGGGTAGGGGTCGTCCTCGAAAGGGTTGGAAAGAGGGGGTAAAGGAGGTTTTGTGGGTGAGGGGCTTGGACTTCCAGCAAGCGTGCATGAGCGTGTTAGATAGGAGTGAATGGAGACGAATGATACTTGGGACCTGACGATCTGTTGGAGTGTGAGCAGGGTAATATTTAGTGAAGGGATTCAGGGAAACCGGTTATTTTCATATAGTCGGACTTGAGTCCTGGAAATGGGAAGTACAATGCCTGCACTTTAAAGGAGGGGTTTGGGATATTGGCAGTTTGGAGGGATATGTTGTGTATATCTATACGTATATGCTTGTAAACTGTTATATTCTGAGCACCTCTGCAAAAGCAGTGATAATGTGTGAGTGTGGTGAAAGTGTTGAATGATGATGAAAGTATTTTCTTTTTGGGGATTTTCTTTCTTTTTTTTGGGTCACCCTGCCTCGGTGGGAGACGACCGACTTGTTGAAAAAAAAAAAAAAAAAAAAAAAGTATTCATTACAATACAGTGGTACCTCAGGATACAAACTTTTTTTGTTCCAGAAGGCTTTTCAAGTGCTGATACCGAACGAATTTGTTCCCATAAGGAATAATGTAAATTAGATTAATCCATTTCAGACCCCGAAAAATACAATTACAAAAGCACTTACATAAATACACTTTCGTAATTGTTCGCATTTTGAGTTGTTCATATCCTGAAGTACCACTGTATATAGTATTTTTTTTTTTTTTAACATCTCACTTGCCCTTTTTATTGAAATGAATCATTATACATGTATATGAAGCATAGAATGGTTACTTCCAATAACCAATGTAGCTTTTTAAAATAATTTACTAAAGGAAAATGTATCACTATGTAGCAGAGAATTACATTGTTAGTGAATACTGAAAAAGTTCTTTAATAATAATTTACAAGCTAAGAATCACAGTATTTCACAAATTATTAGCTTGAGAAGCCTGATCATACCAGGTTAAACTTGTACATTATGCTGTAACACGTATTTATAAATCTTTTTCAACTTGTGTAGAATTATTCAGGACCACACTTAAAATATTTTCTTAGGTTTTAGAATTTGTTATATAATTTTAAATTGCATTATTTGTAGTTATTCTTATATTAAGACTGTCATTTATAATTTTACAATATTCAGAGAATGTGCGAGATTTATTAGTCGGTGAAGTAAGTAGCAGTGAGGTTGCTGCTACGGTGTTAGACCTGTTGTCCGACTTGATGCCCACCATTCAGGAGAGTGCAGCAGATTCCAGCTCAGTGGGGTCTTACCAACGTGCACTCGCTGCCCTGCACCAAGTACATACTGCCTCAAAGGTAATCTATTGCCATGTTTTATATTTTGATTTTTAAAAGATTTTTTAAGAATTAATGCTGAATTTGTAAATTTGGGCACAAGTCACTTGGTCCTGGATTTCATATTTGCACTATTGTGTTATCTGCCTGTATCATTTATTTTTATATAGCCGGACTTGAGTCCTGGAAATGGGAAGTACAATGCCTGCACTTTAAAGGAGGGGTTTGGGATATTGGCAGTTTGGAGGGATATGTTGTGTACTGTTGTATTCTGAGCACCCCTCCAAAAACAGTGATTATGTATGATTGAGGTGAAAGTGTTGAATGATGATGAAAGTATTTTATTTTTGGGGATTTTTTTTTGGGTCACCCTGCCTAGGTGGGAGACTGCCAACTTGTTAAAAAAATGAATAAGGATCATAAACAGTAGTCTTTCATTATAAGTGAAATAAACATGAACATTGTTACTGGTAAGCCAAAACCAGCAGAGTTATGTGTATGTTAACACAGTATAAGAAAGGAATGGCAGCAGCCTGCAATGTTTTCGATGCTATTGTTTCATCACAGGTGTGAATCATAATTATACATCCTGCACCTACCATTAATATTCAACAGTGCAGCTCTAATACTATAATGAACTTGCATACAAAACAAAGAATAACTTCACTTTTAAGAAATGTTCAATCTCCCTGACTGGCACAAAGTCTAATCTATGTGCACTTCCATGAAACAGGTGATTACCATGTTTTCCAGCATATAAGGTACACTAGTGTCGGCTGCTTGCTGGCCCTGACCTTGAGCATACGAGGTGCAGTCTAATTTTCCAAGACTCTTATGGGATCATAGGGATATGGTGATTTTTGACATGTTGTCTCTGTATTAAGACTGAAGAAACCACTTGTGGTGAAATGTTTCCCTAATTAATGCCTTGATCAGTTCTTGTGTGTCTTTTACCTACAACAGAAGAATATGTATACAGTCTATAGATAGCATTTTGTAGTAGTCTGCCTGATGCTTGTTTGTTCATTATTTTGGATCAACACATGGCAGGTATATTCTTAGATTGGAATTTTAAACTGTATAAACTAAGGTTAGTTTATGACATGAGTCAACTTCTGTGTTGGTATTTACAGTATAAACAATATAAATAACATAGAAACCTGATATATATACTCTAAAATGAAAAAATTACGTAATTCATGTGGTATGGGCGGTGTCGGTGGTGGACGATAGTTTGTCTGGAGACTGGACAAAATACTTCTTGAATATTTCGCTTATGTTATCTATACGGCTTATTTATCTATCACAGTTCATCTAATATGAAATAATAAACAATATAAATAACACAGAAACCTGATATATACTCTAGAATTAATAAAATATGCCATTATGTAACAGGTGGAGGCGGCCACAACCACTCCTTCTATGTTGTGGCCTTTTGAAGCCATCTATTATTATAATTATTATTATTATTATTTTTATTATTATTATTATTTTCTTTTTCGGGCCACCCTGCCTTGGTGGGAATCGGCCGGTGTGATAATAATAAAAAAAAAAAAAAATTATTATGTAGTACATTATTATTTTTTTTTTCAACAAACCGGCCGTATCCCTCCGAGGCAGGGTGGCCCAAAAAGAAAAACAAAAGTTTCTCTTTTTAAATTTAGTAATTTATACAGAAGGGGTTACTAGCCCCTTGCTCCCGTCATTTTAGTCGCCTCTTACAACACGCATGGCTTACGGAGGAAGAATTCTGTTCCACTTCCCCATGGAGATAAGAGGAAATAAGAACAAGAACTAGAAAGAAAATAGCAGAAAACCCAGAGGGGGGTGTGAATATATATGCTTGTACATGTATGTGTAGTGTGACCTAAGTATAAGTAGAAGTAGCAAGACGTACCTGAAACCTTGCATGTTTATGAGATAGAAACATGGACACCAGCAATCCTACCATCATGTAAAACACTTAAAGGTTTTCGTTTTACACTAGCTTGGCAGGACGGTAGTACCTCCCTGGGCGGCTGCTGTCTACCAACCTACTACCTAGGTGTTATTATTATTATTTTTTATTATTATTATTTTTATTATTACAGTATAAATAATTTGTCCTAGGTAGTAGGTTGGTAGACAGCAACCACCCAGGGAGGTACTACTGTCCTGCCAAGTGAGTGTAAAACAAAAGCCTGTAATTGTTTTACATGATGGTAGGATTGCTGGTGTCCTTTTTTCTGTCTCGTAAACATGCAAGATTTCAGGGACGTCTTGCTACTTATACTTAGGTCACACTACACATACATGTACAAGCATATATATTCACACCCCCCTCTGGGTTTTCTGCTATTTTCTTTCTAGTTCTTGTTCTTATTTCCTCTTTTCTCCATAGGGAAGTGGAACAGAATTCTTCCTCCGTAAGCCATGCGTGTTGTAAGAGGCGACTAAAATGCCAGGAGCAAGGGGCTAGTAACACCTTCTCCTGTATAAATTACTAAATTTAAAAAGAGAAACTTTTGTTTTTCTTTTTGGGCCACCCTGCCTCGGTGGGATACGGCCGGTTTGCTGAAAGAATAAAGAGATGCAATCAGTTGTAGTATAAACAAAATAATTGAAGGTACAGGAGAAAATAGAAGTTAATGTATGTTAGTCTGAGGGAAGTTTTCAGTCTCAGGGTAGTGGGGAAGTGAAGTAAACTTGATGTGGAAGTGGTGGAGGCAAACTCCATACATAGTTTTATGATTAGCTATGTAGCTATGATAGGACTGTAATGACCAGAAACCAGTAATGCAGTATCATGAAACTTGAGAAATTGGACCAAGAAACAAATCATCTTTCAACTAACCGGCCGTATCCCACCGAGGCAGGGTGGCCCAAAAAGAAAAACAAAAGTTTCTCTTTTCAAATTTAGTAATTTATACAGGAGAAGGGGTTACTAGCCCCTTACTCACGGCATTTTAGTCGCCTCTTACAACACGCATGGCTTACGGAGGAAGAATTCTGTTCCACTTTCCCATCTGTTAGAAAGAAATTATATACAATGAGGTTTTTTTTTTTTTCCTCAGTTGTAAGAGAAATTACCTGGGTAATGTTGCTAGATGCTTCCTCATCTGTCGAAAGTGAAAATTGGGTTATTAATGATGATGTTACTGACTGAGATCTCGTACCTTTGATGCCTTTGAAGAATTTCGAGAGTACACCTACCATCCGACTTACGACCTGCTCGACTTAGGACCACTCGACTTACGACCGTGTTTTTTGTGCCAAATTTCTGGGAAATAAACAACTATTTGTGTTGTACACAGTGTTTATCCTAAACCTTACAGTATAAAATACAGTACTAACAGCATAAAAAGTAAAGTAAAACATGAAATACCAAATAAAACAATAAAATAAAGTCATTACAAAAATGTTAAAGATAAAGAATCACACACAAAGTGGGAGTTGTCACAGCTGCTCTTTGCCGATGACACTGTGCTCTTGGGAGATTCTGAAGAGAAGTTGCAGAGATTGGTGGATGAATTTGGTAGGGTGTGCAAAAGAAGAAAATTAAAGGTGAATACAGGAAAGAGTAAGGTTATGAGGATAACAAAAAGATTAGGTGATGAAAGATTGAATATCAGATTGGAGGGAGAGAGTATGGAGGAGGTGAACGTATTCAGATATTTGGGAGTGGACGTGTCAGCGGATGGGTCTATGAAAGATGAGGTGAATCATAGAATTGATGAGGGAAAAAGAGTGAGTGGTGCACTTAGGAGTCTGTGGAGACAAAGAACTTTGTCCTTGGAGGCAAAGAGGGGAATGTATGAGAGTATAGTTTTACCAACGCTCTTATATGGGTGTGAAGCGTGGGTGATGAATGTTGCAGCGAGGAGAAGGCTGGAGGCAGTGGAGATGTCATGTCTGAGGGCAATGTGTGGTGTGAATATAATGCAGAGAATTCGTAGTTTGGAAGTTAGGAGGAGGTGCGGGATTACCAAAACTGTTGTCCAGAGGGCTGAGGAAGGGTTGTTGAGGTGGTTCGGACATGTAGAGAGAATGGAGCGAAACAGAATGACTTCAAGAGTGTATCAGTCTGTAGTGGAAGGAAGGCGGGGTAGGGGTCGGCCTAGGAAGGGTTGGAGGGAGGGGGTAAAGGAGGTTTTGTGTGCGAGGGGCTTGGACTTCCAGCAGGCATGCGTGAGCGTGTTTGATAGGAGTGAATGGAGACAAATGGTTTTTAATACTTGACGTGCTGTTGGAGTGTGAGCAAAGTAACATTTATGAAGGGATTCAGGGAAACCGGCAGGCCGGACTTGAGTCCTGGAGATGGGAAGTACAGTGCCTGCACTCTGAAGGAGGGGTGTTAATGTTGCAGTTTAAAAACTGTAGTGTAAAGCACCCTTCTGGCAAGACAGTGATGGAGTGAATGATGGTGAAAGTTTTTCTTTTTCGGGCCACCCTGCCTTGGTGGGAATCGGCCGGTGTGATAATAAAAAAAAAAAAAAATGTTTTGTTGATATTCAGTAGTAAAATTCGACTTACGACCATTTCGACTTACGACCGGTTTCTCGGAACCGAACTCGGTCGTAAGTTGGATGGTAGGTGTATATCTACTCTCTGAGCCTGGCCATGGGCCAGGCTCATCTGGTGCTCGCCTGGTCAACCAGGCTGTTGCTGCTGGAGGCCCGCTGCCCCACATATCCATCACAGCCTGGTTGATCTGGCACCTGGTGAAGATACTTGTCTAGTTTCCTCTTGAAGGCTTCAACACATGTTCCAGCAGTGGTTCTGATATCTTCTGGTAAGATGTTGAAAAGTCTGGGACCCCGGATGTTGATACAGTGTTCCCTTGTTGTCCCCGCCACACCCCTGCTCCTCACTGTGTTTATTTTACACTTCCTCCCATATCTTTCACTCTAGTATGTTATGGCAGTGTGCAGATTTGGGACCAAGCCCTCGAGTACCTTCCAGGTATATATTATCATGTACCTCTCCTCCACTCCAATGAGTACATGTTCAAGACTTGCAGGCGTTCCCAGTAGTTTAGGTGCTTTACTGGCTCAGTGTGAGCCGTAAACGATCTCTGTATTTGTTCCAGCTTTGATATTTCTCCTGCCCTGAACGGGGCCGTCAGCACTGAGCAATATTCTAAGTGAGGGAGCACTAGCGATTTGAAGAGTGCCACCATCGGCACTGTTTCCCTTGTTTTGAAAGTTGTCAATACCCACCCAGTCATCTTAGTGGCTGTCGTGATCTTTGTCTTGTTATGGTGGCTCAACAACAATAAACAATAAACCATCTCAGACCATTAGTTACCTAACAAAAGGCTGCAGTCAGAATAATTAATTCCCACTACAGGCAGCACACTCCACCAATATTCAAAACTCTAAACCTACTCACCATTCAAAACATCCATACTTATTACTGCACCTAATACATTTACAGAACACTTAATTCTGATATAAACCCTCCCCTCAAACGTCTCCTTACCAACCTCAACAGAACACACGACCATAACACAAAGCACAGATCACTCTTTGATGTTCCTCGAGTCCATCTCATGCTATGCAAAAACTCAATGCACATAAAAGGCCCTAAAATCTGGAATTCATTACCTGTGAATATAAAAGAAACACTGTCTGTTTATAAATTCAAGTCTCTTCTCAAAAATCACTCGCCCACAACTAAATAAATACTGAATAATTGTATCTCATAAATTGTATCTTGTAAATGTTTTCTCATTATTGTATAGCATAAATGTCTAACCTGTGACCCAATCAAACTTTATTTTTTTAATTACATTACCTAACAAAATACTACATTCTACTGAATGCTCAGCAACACAGTAAATGACCATATGACCTGTCTTTGTAATACTCATTTGTACTAAATTGTTATCTGTTCACAATAATGATTTTACCACTGAATATATCATTGCTTAGTTAATCTTAAGTTAATTTTAAGCCTGCTCATAATGCTCTGCATACAAGGGGCTTTGGCATGTTGCACTGTAATAACATTGTACTTCACTGTATCATGTTCAAATTAATAAATAAATAAATAAGGTCGGCTGACATAATTATTCCTAGGTCTTTTACGTGTTCCTTATGTTCTATTTGGTGACCCTCTTGAGTTATGTATATAGTGCTCCTTTTGAGTTCTTCATTCTTTCCATACCTAAGCAGCTGGAACTTATCACCATCGAACGTCATGTTGTTTTCCACTGCCCACTGGAAAACCCTGTTTATGTCTTCCTGTACTTTTTCAGTGTCCTCTACCGTACTGACTTTCATGCTTATTTTAGTGTCATCTGCAAATGATGATACAAAAGTGTGCTGGGTGTTTTTGTCTGTGTCTGCTATGAGGATGAGGAACAGCAGAGGTGCCAGGACAGTGCCTTGGGGCACTGAGCTTTTGACCTCGCTGATGCTGGATCTTGCCCTGTTCACTACTACTTTTTGTGTTCTGTGTGTTAGGAAACAGAAAATCCATCTGCCTACCTTCCCCGTAATGCCCGTGGCCTTCATTTTGTGTGCTATCACTCCATGATCGCATTTGTCAAGCGCCTTCGCAAAATCTGTGTAAATCACATCTGCGTTTTGGTCGTCTTCTAGTGCCTCCGTAATTCTGTCATAATGGTTTAGCAGCTGTGACAGACACGATTGTCCTGCTCTAAAACCATGCTGGTTCGGGTTATGTTGGTTGTGCTGGTCCATGAAATTTGTAACCTGCCGTCTCGTCACTCTTTCGAAGATTTCTATGATGTGAGAGGTTAGAGCTACTGGTCTGTAATTTTTAGCTAGTGCTCTACTACCTCCCTTGTGCCAAGGAGCTATGTCTGCACTCTTTAAGGCCTCCAGTGTTTCACCTAGATCTAAGCTCTTTCTCCAAAGAATACTGAGGGCTCGTGCTAGTGGTACTTTGCACTTCTTTATAAGTAGAGCATTCCATAAATCTGGTCCAGGTGCTGAGTGAGTGGGAATGTTTTCCATTTCTTTTTCGAAATCTATGGGATTTGTACTAATGTCAGTTAGTTGGTCTGTGCGGCCTTCTTCTGGAGTGAAAAATATTTCTGCATTTTCTACTTTGTTGTCATTAGTGGGTTGCTGAACACCGACTCATACTGTTCTTTTAGGATTTCACTCATTTCCTGTTCATCATCAGTATACGAGTCTCCTCTCAGTAGTGGTTCAGTTCTACATTTAGTTCTTAGCTTGAATTTTGCGTAGGAATAGAAATATTTTTGGTTTTTATGCTTTAAATATTATATCAAGAGTATTTAATTTTTCAGATATTTGGTAATGAATGTTTTGCTACTACTAATGTGGTTTGTTCTTCTAATTTTATGATTAAAATAACTTAATTCTTACAAATTGCAGATAGTGGAGCCATCAGAGCAGCTTATGGTGGCCACACTAGGATCTCAAGAAGGGGCTTTTGAAAACGTAAGGCTTAATTATTCCGGAGAACAGGGACAGACAATCAGACAGCTTGTGTCTGCTCACATGATTCGACGAGTGGCCATGTGCTGCTTGGCCTCACCAGGTGGCAAGAGGCAGCATCTAGCAGTGTCTCATGAAAAGGGCAAGATAACAGTTCTGCAACTTTCTTCCCTCTTGAAACAACATGATTCTGCTAAGAGGAAACTTACCTTGACACGTTTGTCTTCTGCACCGGTCCCATTCACTGTTCTGTCTATCACTGCTAATCCAGCCAATGATGATTATCTTGCTGTTTGTGGACTTAAGGTACGTCAAATGTTCAGTGTGTAATAAATGTCATGTAATATTTTTATAGCCAGTAAGTAGGATTTATTTTCATGTTAAGTATATCATTTAATATCAATCCTTTATTTTTAAATGACTGTGTATTCTTTGATGCAGGACTGTCATGTTCTAACCTTTGCAAGTGCTGGCAGTGTTTCGGATCATCTGGTACTACATCCTCAGCTGGAGTCAGGAAACTACATAATCCGAGCTGTGTGGTTGCCAGGCCAGCAGACCCAGTTGGCACTCGTTACTGCTGAGTTTGTGAAAATATATGATCTTAGCATTGACTCGCTCTCTCCTCAGTACTTTTTCCTGCTTCCCTCTGGAAAGATCAAGGATGCCTGCTTTGTGTGTGCTCAGGTAAAATATTGTTATTATGTGTACGTTGATAATTACCGTAGTTTTCAAAAGTTTAGTCAGTGTATTAGCCTTTATGTGGTTGCAGGTGTGTAATTCCATTAGTGTGAAAAAAGTTGTACGAGAAGTGAGGGTTGTGTGATATTGCAGGCTAGAATTAAGTGAACTGGGTAGCCTTGGCATTCTTAGGAAGTATTGCCCTATGATATCTTTCCTTCAGTGATAGTGAAAGTGCTTCTTGTTTTGGTCACCCTGTCTTGGTGGGAGACAGCCAGCATATTAAAAAAAAAAAAACATTCATTGTTTGCCTTGCTTACTCTTTAACATCATCACCACTTTTCTACTTCACATTATTACCCTATCCTTTATTTTTACACTGTCATTTCTGTCAAGGGAAGGTTCCTTGATGATGGTGAGGGACTCTGTGATTGAAAGAATTGGTGCTCCTCTTCCCTTGTTTTACAAAAAACTTGATTACCTACCATTTTTCTTGCTGATGTATGACTCCTTTCTTTAGCACTTTGCTGTGAATTTAATAATCTTACTTATGATGCTCCTCAGTTGTAATGGAAGATTAAGTGTTACCTGTATCCATACACTGTACTAGCAGATTATATACTCGTCTATGTGTGGTTGTAGGGGGCCATATCTTACCTCCTGGCCCTGCTTCATTTACCACATGCCAGATTCACTCCCTGCCTCCTAGTCTTGGGCCTTATTGTACTTGCTCTTAGTTATGTATGAAGCCTGCCTGCCTCCACTTTTTTGCTGAGATCATTCCACTTTTCAACCTTCCCAAAACAGAAGAAACACTTCCTGACATCCCTGTGGCTCATCTATGTCTTTCACTTGGAACTGTGTATGCACATTCATTTGGCTATCCATACATCCATCCATCCATCTCTTCCAGGTGCAGGGATTGGGACAAATGTGGTAATCCATATCTTATTTGCCTTTCTAATTTCTAATTTTTTTGTTTAATTGTGCAAGTGTATTCTTAAATGTAAGTTTTGTGAGTATAATTTAAAACTTTTTTGTTTTTGACAGGATGATGGGTGTTACCTTGTAGCTATGGCATCATCAGGCTACATGTATACACAGGTATTGAGTGAGGAGAGTTCAGCACAGCATGGACCATTTTACGTTACTAATGTTCTTCAAGTTCAGCACCAAGATCTTAAGGTAAATATTTTTGGTTCCTCATATTGTAATTTAACTGTTTCTACATCTTATAAAGGATATTTGTAAGTGAAAGAAACTATTGGGCAATTGCGTATTTCTTACTACTTATCTAAAACGATAGGTAAACTATGGGAAAATTTATAATAATACAATGTATTGGGAGTTGACAGTTTTTGCTGATAATACTGTGCTTATGGGAGTGTGAAGAGAAGTTGCAAAAGTTATTGAATGAGTTTGGGAGGGTGTGTAAAGGAAGAAAGTTGAAAGTGAACTTGGATAAGAGTAAGGTGGTGAGGGTATCAAACGATTTAGATAAGGATAAACTGGAAATCATATTAGAGGGAGGGAGTATGGAAGAAGTGAATGTGTTTAGATGTCTGGGAGTAGACTTGTCAGCAGATGGGTTTATGAAGGACAAGGTAAACCATAGAATTGATAAAGAAAAAAGAGTGGGTGGTGCATTGAGGTATCTGTGGAGACGAGGAACATTATCCATGGAGGCAAAGAAGGAAATGTATGAGCGTATATTGGTAACAACACACTTACATGAGTGTGAAGCATGGGTTGTGAATATTGCACTGAGGAAATTAGGATATGTGGAGTTGCTAAAGGTATTCAGAGGGCTGAAGAGGGGTTATTGAGGTGGTTTGGTCATGTAGAGGGATGGAGTAAAAATAGGATGACTTGGAGGGTGTATAAATCTGTAGTGGAGGGGCAGGGGTCATCCTAGGAAAGGATGGAGGGAGGGTGTAAAATAGGTTTTGTGTGAAAGGGGCTTGGACATATAGCAGGCATGTGTGTGTGTCAGATACAAGTGAGTAGAGACAAATGGTTTTTGGGACCTGATGAACTATTAGCGTGTGAACAGGGTAATATTTTGTGAAGGAATTCATGGAAACCAGTTAGCCCTTTTGAATCCTGGAGGTGGGTAGTACAGTGCCTACACTTTAAAGGAGGGGTTTGAAGTATTGACTGTTTGGAGTGACATCTAAACTGTCGTATATGAGCGCCTCTGCAAAGACAGCGATTATGTGTAAATGATGGTGAAAGTGTTGAATGATAGTGAAAGTGTTTTTTTGGGTCACCCTGCCTCAGTTGGAGACAGCCGACATGTTAAAAATTCTTACTGTCTACTTTTGTACAGTATAAAAGAACAAAGCAGTTAGTACCTTCCTGAGACTAATGACTCACAAGGGTTTAGCACTTTTGCACTTTTTAATGAATTTAATAATTTGGGTAGCTTCCATTCTTTTATACCCTATCCTCCAGGGTCTGACAACCCTGGAGTTTACCTGGAGAGAGTTCCGGGGGTCAATGCCCCCGCGGCCCGGTCTGTGACCAGGCCTCCTGGTGGATCAGCGCCTGATCAACCAGGCTGTTGCTGCTGGCTGCACGCAAACCAACGTACGAGCCACAGCCCGGCTGATCAGGAACTGACTTTAGGTGCTTGTCCAGATATGGAGGACAGATATGTTTTTTATTTTATTTCGTTTATTTAATTTTGGCTTGATCTTAAATAATGTTTCATTCCACCAGGATTGCAATGGCCAGATAGGTGGTGGTGGAGTGAGTGTATACTACTCTCACACACTTCAGGTCCTCTGCTTCAGTTATACTCAGGGCAAGAGTTTCATTGCTCCTCTTATATCCATCAGTAAGTACAAGGCTTTTATAAATACTAATGGAAAATGATTATAGCAAGCAGGAAACCATGAACATGATTCTATTCTTGTAGCTTGAATTAACCCTTCGACTGTTTTGGTCGTATATATACGTCTTATGAGCCACCGTTTTTGACGTATATATACTCATAAATTCTAGTGGCTTCAGATCGAGCAGGAGAAAGCTGGTAGGCCCACATGTGAGAGAATGGGTCTGTGTGGTCAGTGTGCACCATATAAAAAAATCCTGCAGCACGCAATTCATGAGAAAAAAAAACTCCGACCGTTTTTTTTTTTAATTAAAATGCCGACTTTGTGGTCTATTTTTGTATAGTATTTATGGTTGTATTCTCATTTTCTTGCTCTCATTTGATAGAATGGAAAACATATTATACAAATAGAGTGATTTTGATTGGTTTTGCTATGAAAAGAACCTTGAAATGGAGCTCGAAGTAGGGGAAATGTTTGATTTTTGCCGATGTTCAAAAGTAAACAAATGTCATTTTCTAATTAATGTCCAAGTAGCCATTCTAATATGCAGTCATGAATGGGTTGACATTATTTATACAATTATTACAATATTGCAGTAGTCTGCATAACAATAAATCTTCTATTTTTTCTTTCATCACACCAGCCGTATCCCACCGAGGCGGGGTGGCCCAAAAGGAAAAACAAAAGTTTCTCCTTTTACATTTAGTAATATATACAGGAGAAATGGTTACTAGCCCCTTGCTTCCAGCATTTTAGTCACCTCTTACAACACGCATGGCTTACGGAGGAAGAATTCTGTTCCACTTCCCCATGGAGGTAAGAGGAAATAAACAAGAACAAGAACTAGAAAGAAAATAGAAGAAAACCCAAAGGGGTGTGTGTATATATATGCTTGTACATGTATGTGTAGTGTGACCTAAGTGTAAGTAGAAGTAGCAAGACATACCTGAAATCTTGCATGTGTATGAGACAGAAAAAAAAAAAAAAAGACACCAGCAATCCTTCCATCATGTAAAACAATTACAGGCTTCAGTTTTACACTCACTTGGCAGGACGGTAGTACCTCCCTGGGCGGTTGCTGTCTACCAACCTACTACCTAGACTTCTATTTTTTATTTGAATAAAGATTCAAAATAGAAAACAAGAGTAATATCAGAAGGGCCTGGAGACGTTACTGATGCACAAAGAAAATGTTATTTTAGAGCCAGGAATGTCTGCATTGTTCATTCTGGACCCTATTTTGAAATTGTCATATTTTTTATATTACATGAAATTGGCCAAATTGCAAATTTCTGACCGTTATTGGGTAGTTGAAATTGGTAAATGGGCAGTTTCTTGTACTCAATCGATAGAAAAAATGGACTTCTAAAGAAATAGCTATGAGTTTGGTCAACTGGAACAATGGAATTAGCCGAAAATAGGGTTCAAAATGGGCAAAATCACCGATTTGTAAATATCGCCGAGGTTGCTAACTTTGCGAGAGCATAATTCCGTCAGTTTTCCATCAAATTTCATTCTTTTGGTGTCATTACAATCGGGAAAAGATTCTCTATCATTTCATAAGAAAAAATAATTTTTTTTTTTAATTTTGTGAAGCCAGGAGACATCTCAAGATTTGGGGTTACGACAGTCAAGGGGTTAATATAATAAAATCACCATATCCCCCCACTAGAAGGCTTTACTAAATTGAATAAATGGAGTAAGAGATGTATGATGAAATTTTGTGTACATGAGAGAGGGATAATAGACAACTTAAAAGAATAGAGATGTGATAAAATACAGAAGGCCATAGTTAGTGATATAGAAGTTACCAAAGATGAAAGATCTCAACAATTTTATTATTTTTTATAATTGCAGATGAGAATGAGAAGGTAGAGAAGATGTTTGCTGTAAGTGTTAAAGGAGGCAATGGTTCTGGAGGAAGCAGTAGTAGCAGCAGCAGCAGCAGTAGCAGTAGTAGCAGCAGCAGTAGCAGCAGTAGTGGTGGCAGTGGGGGTAAAATGGTTCCTCAGCCTCTTTGTCAATGGGGAGAGGTCACTGGTCATCCTGGGCTCATCACATGTCTCACTCAGTCAAGTGAGTGTCTTGATAATCTATACAATGTATGTGTTGTTTTAGCTCTAGGGAATAGTTGTTGCACTTGTTGAAAGAAAAGTTTTCTATGTTTTATATTCTTTCTTAAAAAGCTAATGAAGGGCTTCATTAAGTGTAGATAATTCCTTCAAAAAAATAATTTAAGCTTGCACATTGCTACTGCATTACATAACCATCTCTTAATATCTCCATTATCCTTTATGCTGTATTCTTGTTGAGTATGAGCAGTTGTTTTATCCGTTAATTAATCTTTTGCGAAATTGAGTTTGGAAGCAAGGAAACGAGTGCAAGGTTGTCAGAGAGAATTCTTGTGTGATTATCTCTATAAATGTACATAGAGTTTGAGTTCTGGTATTAATGATTGCTTCATATTTGTTTTGACATGAATTAATGCACAGTTCTTTCTTTGGGTCACCCTACGTTGGTGGGAAAAGACCTGTATGATAATTTTTTTTGTATATACATTGAATCCATCTTTGGTCCACTTCTTTAGTCTTTGTCCATGTCTCTCCATTCCTTTTCTTTACTTTGCTCTCCCATCTGCTTTCAAGATAGGAGAAATACTTTGATCTAGAAAATATGGAGAGGTGAAGTTGGTAGAGATATTATTTAACTTTTTTTTGTTAATATCCTGCAGAGCCTTTAATCCTTCGGTGTTTTTAAAATCTGTATATGTATATATTCTTACGTTTCAGGTAATAATCCAGTAATTTTGATGGTGAAACCAGATCATATCCTTATTCAAGAGATTCGTGTTTTGCCTGCTAAGAGCAAAATGACGGACCTTGTGGCCTTGCGACACTCTTGGTCGCCTAATCATGAAGCCAAGACTACACTCATTCTGCTTTGTGAAGATGGCTCACTTAGGATATATAATGCCAACCCCCAGACTACAGGTGGGCAGCTTACAAATATTGTTATGTTTAGCATCAGTTTTTGGCTACTGCAAAACATACCTAAGTTACTTTTTCAGTAGACGCTACAATAATCCTTGTGACAGTTTAACGTCTTTTTTCACAAGAACAATGCCTAAAGTCAGAAATAATCATTGTTTTTTAAACAAGTTGTCTTTACACCATTAATGTATTACAGCCTCTCCTCACTTAACGACGAAGTTGCGTTCCTAAGACCACGTCGGTAAACGAATTTGTCGCTAAACAAGGAGCACACACTAATGGTAGTGGGTTTGTGTCATCCATGTTTTATATTGTTTTAATGTCGCCTTTGCACCATTTATAATATTTCTGGTATATTTTTAAATATTTACAGAGTAGTGTACTGTATATTATAATAAACAGAGTAGAGGAAATCAGCTGTAATATACATTATTTAGGTATGCATACTGGTCAGAGAGCCCGTTGTAAGTTCGAGTCATCGGTAAACAAGTACATCGCTAAGTGAGGAGAATCTGTATTTCCACCATTTGGGATCAACTTTTTTTTTTTTTTTTTTTTTTTTATACTATAACCAATTTGACAGACTGAGAGCTGTTATCCTACTTCAGCTCATTTCAAAGCCCAACCTATCTGAGGTATACTACCACCCACAACAGTCAACTAATAACCAGGTACCTACTTGCTGCTAGGTGAACAGGGGCAGCAGGTGTGAAGCAACATAGCTCAAAATCAGTACTAACTTGTAGCCTTCAGGCTAATACAGAATGATAAGTTTTTATTTGATCAGAAATGTTTTAGTAGGTAATTTATAATTTCTTAGCCTCGTTTCATTAACATAACATCCATTTTTTTTATTACAAATCTGTAAAAGATATACAACATAAAAATCTTCTTAATGTTTAGTTGAGCAGAATCCAGTGGTTCAAGGAACTGGGCTTCAACATGATGATAATTGATAGTTACATTGGTAATTAGATGTTTATAAAGCATTTGGAAAAAAGGCACTACAGTGGAGTTGGAATACATGGCAGATCATTATGCAATGTTTCAAGCTGTTTTTCAAAGATAATACCCAAATTTGGGAGGAAGTTGAATAGGTTTACTTACTTCATGGTTGACAATTCAGCTTTGTGTTGTTGAAAGTAAAATTGAAGCTGCCAAAATGATAGAGTACTTATTCTAAATAATGTCATTGCCACAGATTTCTGGTTGTCGCCACAGATGCAAGTTCTCAGTGCTATTTCCTCACTACGTCCTTCCAGGAAGAAGAAAACTCCTAAACTAGGACGACCATCAGGTGTGTACGTGGAATATTAACACAGCTTTTATTGTTCTCTAGTCTGCACTTACACATGGCACAATAAATTACATTGTTTTTGTTTCTAGTGTTGGTCATAATCATGAGAGCAAGGACTGCTGATAACCAACAGGAAGGTCAATTTTTCCTCTCGCATAATCATATCAGTCCTTCTGCCCTTTAAATTATGCTTTTCAAACCAATACACAATCATCTAATTTCTTGATTCCATTTTCTCTGTATAATAATCACACCAGAAATTGATCTCATTTTCCCCTCACTTCATTCCTAGGTTTCTTTGTATGAATGCATAGCCATCATAATGCAAATTATTCACTATTTTATATATTTATCAAAATGAAAATTTTGTGATAAGCTGCTTTTATCATTGGGGTAATGATAAAGTTTTAAATTACACAATAATTTTTTTTTTTTTTTTTTTTTAATTCTTCACAGGCTCCGTTGTCTTCCCAGTTGATTTCTTTGAGCACTGTTCAGTGATGAATGACATTGAGTATGGTGGTAATGACCTGCTACAAGTTTACAATGTACAGCAGTTGAAGAACAGACTTAACAGCCAAGGTGAGTTATTCTTGTATACATGTATATCATAAATTTTGTGTTTATATTTCTTAGAGTGAAATGTTAATGCACAGGGGTTTTCATAAACATAACTTCTATTGTGTACATCTTTCAACAAACTAGCTGTATCCCACAGAGGCAGGGTGGCCCAAAAAGAAAAACAAAAGTTTCTCTTTTCAACTTTAGTAATGTATACAGGAGAAGGGGTCACTAGCCCCTTGCTACCAGCATTTTAGTCACCTCTTACGCACACTCATGGCTGTTGTGTGTGTACCTATGATTACTATGTTTCTTCAGAATAAAGTAAAATATTTGTCAACAAAGATTTGTATGCAGTGTTATTGTTAAAATAATAATGTTATCCCTTCTTACGTTAGGCATGTACATAGCTTCAACAAAGCCAGGAGGATTCCAGCTAGAGGTAACCAACAATGACTCAACCCTGGTTATCTGTGGCCTGAGGGTTGCTGTTGGAGCTGTTGATACCCAGAGGGTCCCAGCATACTTAGAGGTGAGTCTGGATAGCAGTTAGTGTATTTGGTTTAAAGCTTATCAGTTGAATGTGGCTTAACAAGGCTACAAGTTACCTTCATAATGCCTTCGAAGATGCTTTTAATCCAAAAATTGGAATTATAATACAATCGTTATGTATAGTTATATACACTTTTTTTTTATTCTCTCCCCAACAAACCGGCCGTATCCCACCAAGGCAGGGTGGCCCAAAAAGAAAAACGAAAGTTTTTCTTATTAAATTTAGTAATTTATGCAGGAGAAGGGGGTTACTATCCCCTTGCTCCCTTTTATAGACCTCTTGATATATATTCCCTTTTAAACTTTAAAGCCCCCACAGCTTGTTAGATTTGGTCATGTGGATTTTTCCTCGAGGAATCTGCTTTATCAATATTAAATTATTATTTTTGCCTGATCTCAATTTTTCTTTGAAACTCATAAACTATGACATGTACTTTATTTGTAGACCAGCGATCAAATATTTGTAGCATTGTGTTACTGTAGGTTCGATATACTAAACAGTTAACTGCACTTTTTCTTTTTAACTTGCCCTTAGGGTTTTATTTCGTCTACTTCTGCAATGTTGAAGTGTCACTTTGAACCCAGTCTCATTTTGCACCTCTTAATTTTTTCCAGTAAATCCTCTGAAACACCCTTCATCAAATTTAATAATTTCTATTGGATAAACAGTAGCATATGCATGTGTGAAAGAGCCTTTAATGTTTAAACAACATTGTAATGTAATTCATGCTTCCGCAGATATTTGGAAGAAGCGTTTCAATTGCTGCTACTCGAAGCCGCTGGTTTGATATTCCACTAACACGTGAGGAATCACTGCAGGCAGATAAACGCATTGTTATTAGTTTTGGACCCTCGGCTGACCCATCAAATATTGCTATGGTTGACTTTGTAAAAATGTAAGTAATATGTACTCTGTTATGGAACAAATCATGTAGAAAGTGGTTGAGAAGAAATGAATTGTAATACAAATTTTATTATATTTCTGTGAAATACAGAAATTTTAAATTGCTGTTATTGTAAAGTACTCAGTGTCTGGAATTTTAACCAAAAAACCTAGTTTCAGTACCTAGAAATAAGGTTGTGCATCTGGTAGGAGGAGGATTTATACATTGAAAGAACACTTGTTGGATTTCTGCACCTCACTTTAATTTTGAAGTTGGATGACAATAGGGCTTGAAATACTATATACACCCTGCTTCAAGACCTAGTGTTCTGCTCCAGCTCTGCCCTTGAAAGAAATTTTTCTCTTATTCTAAATTTCTGCATCTCCTGATTATTTTATCCTTTCTTGCATACATATCATAGATGATGCCTTTCTTGTTCTTATCAGCATACTTGTTTCTCAGTACAGGGAAGTGTCTGTTGTTTATTGTAAGTGACAGTAAAATATTTGTAATTCTCTGGTAAAGGTTTAGTCCTTAAGAGTCCTTAGTGCTTGAGTGGCCATCACAGGTCTACATTATTGATGCCAGGGTCCCTTCTTTAGAGGGAGTGTTATTTTAGTGCTTGGAATGTCTACATTGTTTATTTTGGACTCTAATTTTAAACAGGAATTTTTTTTAATTTGGCATAAAATTGGCTAAATTACTGAACTCTATGCACTTTATAGGGTAATTCTAATCGTTTAGTAGGTGGTTTCTTGTGCTCACTCGATAGAACAGAAGGCATATTACCAAAGTAGCTAAGAATTTGGTTGAATGGTGAAATGGAATTGGCTTAAAATTGAACTCGGATTGGTTAAAAATCACTTATGCATGAATTGCACCCACATAATTTCGTAAGTTTTTTTCCATCAAATTTTGAACTTTTTGTGTCATTACCTTGAGAAAAAAGGTTGTCTGTCATTTTAGAAGAAAAATTATTTAAAAAAAATGTAGACACTGAGAGCAATATTAATTTTGGGGGTTTGGATAGTGAAAAACTAAATCCTAAAATTTGATCAGAAGGAATTTGGTATACTTTTGGAATAATTTACTAGAAGCTACTCTAAAGTAATTTCGAGAGGAAACATTGCATCAAGATTAAATTTTTTATTTTCAACATACTGACCATCTCTCACCGAGGCAAGGTAACCCAAGAAGCTATAAAGTTTTCCTCTTTTTACACTTAGTAATTTATACAGGAGAAGGTGTCACTAGCTCCTTGTTCCCAGCATTTTTGTCACTTCTTATGACACGCACAGCTTTTGAAGGAGAGATTCTTTTCCATTTCCCCATGGAGAATTATTAAATATTCTGTTACGGAATTTGTCATGTTTAGATTATTTCTTTGGCACTTAAATTCTGAAGAGCTTAAGCTCGCCCCATTCTCAAATAGGCACATAATTACAAATAATAATTACATGTATGTTCCAGTTACGGAAAAACTAAGGAGGACTTTGGATGGCCTGAGGAACCGGAGGACTTCTCAACTACAGTTAGTGGGACTGGAGCTAGTGGATCAACTGGCGGTGGCAGTGAATCAACAGCAACAGGAGGAACAGCCTCTACACCCCTGCCTCTAACAGCTGTTGATCGCCTTGTGTCTGCTGCTCTGGAAACTCTTGATGGCTGCTTTGTTGCCACGCCAGCTGAAAAGATTGTAGCCAGAGCTGGAGCTTTAGACTTGGCAACAAAATTACTCAATCTTCCTCTACCTCCTACCGTGCAAGTGAGTAAATAGCTCCTTTATGACGAGTCAAGAGGTCCTTGATATACAGACGAGTGACATCCTTGTTTCTTCAGCTTACAAACAAGTTTGCTTAGAATAGTACAAAGGATGGTTGTTCCACATGTCTGCATTGTAGTTCTGCAGTTGTAAAATTTAATTGGTTTCAAAATGCACTGTAAGTGTGGATGTTTGTTACTTAGGGTATTTCCAAGTTGAAGACTTGTATATTGAACTATGACAAGTGCCTTTTGTACTTTTCATGAAACCTAGGACAAATTATATATGGTACTGCAGAAAAGATGTTGCTTGTGGTTTCACTCGATATTCATACTGGTGAACACATGAGATTACCTACTGAAGATGGCAGTGTATAAATATAAGAGTTTTACATATAAAGGTGTGGGAGTTGCTAATGTAGCTACAGAATTAAAGGGTGACAAGAATGCTGCATATGCAGTATAACAAGAGGCTAATATTATGTATAGTATTCTTTGGGGGATGGTCTTTTTGCTGAAACTTATTTCTTGGTAAAATTAAGATTTTTACCTATTATGTGCATTGCTGTATGGCCCTTGTGGGTTTAGCACCTAGTTATGATTATAATAATAATTACTTATTATGCAACAAACTTATAATTTTTGTATTTGCCTTAGAATAGATGAGTATAACAGGATTGAGTTCATATTGATACCCATCAAAATTATCTGTCAGTTATCACTAAACGAGGAGACGGTTGGAGGCAGTGGAGATGTCCTGTCTAAGGGCAATGTGTGGTGTAAATATTATGCAGAAAATTCGGAGTGTGGAAATTAGGAGAAGGTGTGGAGTTAATAAAAGCATTAGTCAGAGGGCAGAAGAGGGGTTGTTGAGGTGGTTTGGTCATTTAGAGAGAATGGATCAAAGTAGAATGACATGGAAAGCATATAAATCTATAGGGGAAGGAAGGAGGGGTAGGGGTCGTCCTCGAAAGGGTTGGAAAGAGGGGGTAAAGGAGGTTTTGTGGGCGAGGGGCTTGGACTTCCAGCAAGCGTGCATGAGTGTGTTAGGAGTGAATGGAGACGAATGATACTTGGAACCTGACGATCTGTTGGAGTGTGAGCAGGGTAATATTTAGTGAAGGGATTCAGGGAAACCGGTCATCTTCATATAGTCGGACTTGAGTCCTGGAAATGGGAAGTACAATGCCTGCACTTTAAAGGAGGGGTTTGGGATATTGGCAGTTTGGAGGGATATGTTGTGTATCTTTATACGTATATGCTTCTAAACTGTTGTATTCTGAGCACCTCTGCAAAAGCAGTGATAATGTGTGAGTGTGGTGAAAGTGTTGAATGATGATGAAAGTATTTTCTTTTTGGGGATTTTCTTTCTTTTTTGGGTCACCCTGCCTCGGTGGGAGACGGCCGACTTTTTGAAAAAAAAAATATATATTTATCATTAAAATAAAGAACATTTAGCATTCTACTGCATTTCTGACTTTTTAAGTTAGAATTTTTAATCAAATGTCTTTATGCCATTTGATTTATCAGTATGGGCCAAAATTATTTTTAAAACGTTACGGGTAAAATGTAAATTTATTGTTTGGTATTAATTCTATATTAAGGCTGGCTTGACTGTTAACAATATTTTTTTTGAAAATCATGTGTGTACTGTTTTTGTTGCACATAAATTGTTTTAAATATTATACCAATTAATCATTTTATAAATTGCTTTTGTGGTACTGTATATTAATATTATGAATACGTATTGTACTTATGGCTATTGCTTAAATATCTCAAAATGTATACTTAACATTAAAAAAAAGTCGCTGTTTTCCTTTCAGCATCACACCCGGACTCTGCTTGCATCACTGCATCAGAGTCGAATGGCATACCACAATCACAAGGATGGAGCACAGCTCGCCAGCGTTGTGGACTCCTTGAATAACCTTCGTCGTGTAACGGAACCTCAGCAGCTGGACTGTGAAGCTTACCATCGTTTGGTTGTAACTGCAAGAAATGTGGCTGCGGCTAGACCACATAATCTGGTCAAGTATGTGCAAACTGACTTAATTTTTAATTTGAAGTTATTGTAATTTTATTTAGTAGTGTGCATATATATTAAAGTTCTTCCTTTACCTGTCTAATCCTTCATAGACCAATCTGATGATAAATTCACTCCAATATATAATACATTCACATACTTTTTTTCTTCCTTCCATTTTTGCCTCCACAGTTTCTTTCCTCTAGTAACTAAGTAAATACCAATTTGGATGATTTTGATATTTATGCCCTAGAAGTTATGATGACAGTCTTGTGTCAGTGAGATCCCAAGGTAAAAAATAACTTTTACTATTTACACAAATTCTTAATTTTAAAACATCATGGAATATTGCTTCTTGTTCCTGTGATCATGAATTCTTCTGGTACAAAAGAGGAAGATTAAGACCTAACCATTTAGTATTCAATTTTTCACTAATAGGGATGATAATATCGTGTAGAGTAGCTTAACTTTTTGCCTCTTAACATTGATACCTTTTTTGTTACTAATTCTTGTGGTTAATTTATTTTGTCTCTATTACAGGTATACAGAGAAAGTATCAGCAGACATGACTTTAGTTCAGTCAGAAGATGACAACAAAAAGCCTGAAGCCACATCATCATCTCCCAGTCAAAAGACAGATGGAGATGCTTCACTCTCAAAGAAAAGTGACGGAGACTCTACTTTAAGCAAGGCATCTGACACAACTTCCGACTCAGAAGGAACACTGGAGGGTGGTGATAGCAATGGCAATGACATTACCAGTGATGAGACTCACTTCTTGGCTCAGCTGATGAGTGTCTTTTGGGCTCTCCACAGTGCCAAGCCCACCAATCTTTTTCTTACTCCTATGTGTCAACCTGGTTAGTACTGAACTTTTTTCAGTTAATATTATTTTCACATGTTATTGGTTTTGGCTATGTAGTTTGGGATCAGAGTTTCTTAAGGTAATTTATTTCAGTATGTATTCATTGAGTGTTTCTGAAATTTTATTGCTACATACATACATTACCTTTAAAATTCTTTCCTCATAAAAAGAAAGCTCAAATTCTGTTTACATTAATTTTAATATTTTCAGGTTTGACCCATGTTGAAGCTACAGTGCAGGCAGTAGTTGAGATCATCCATGCTTACACTGTTTGCTCACTGTCAGCAGTTCCTCTTGCTGTTCGTCTCTATACCGAATTATTACTTTGCTCTGACACATCAGTTAGTTTCGGTGCAAAACAAGCCTTGATCAGAGTGTTACGACCTCGCCACAAGAGACGCAAGGTTTTCATTCCCAGTCCTCCAAGATGCTCTACACCAGGTCAGTGATATGTTAAGCTCCATTTTCTTTTATATTGTGTGTGGCAAACAAGAATGTATCTTGAACATCAAATTATGGCACTTCTGGTTATTAATAGTTTTAGTTAAGGTTGTCAGAAATGAATGCTCCTGTGTCAATGAGAAATGTGGCCTTAGTGGATAAAATACAGGAAATAAGATAAAAAATAAGTGGGAACTGCCACTGTTGATATTTGCAGATGATTTTGCCTTTGGGAATTTGGAAGAGAAGATGTAAAGATGTTTGGAATGAAGTGTAAAAGAAGAAAATATTGAAAATAAAAGTGCATTAAAGTATAAGATATTGATAAGTAATGAAAAAAGCACAGAATACAATCACTTTAGGCTATATTTAATAGTGCCCATGGTCCTAATACCAAAACTTTTCCATTTAATGTGTTGTTAAGTGATTGCCTTTTGTATCTTTTTCACTACTTTCAAGTAAATGCAGGTAAGAGACAGATAATTAGAAATGTAAGTAAAGG